CCCCATAGGCTCCCCTCAGGCCCCTCCCTCTCCTCCAGCCCCTCCCTCCCTTTAGGCCCCTCCCTTCCTTAGGCCCTTCAGTTCCCTCAGACCTCTACTTCCCTTAGGCTCCTTCCCTTCCTCAGGCTCCCTTCCCTCAGGGCTTTCCTTTTACTCAAGTCCCTCCCACCCTACCCCTCCCACCCCTTAGGCTCCTCCCCCTTTCTTTAGGCTCCTCCCCTTTAAGCCCCTCCCTTTCACTCATACCCCTCCTTTTCCTCAGGCCCCTCCCTTCCCTTAGGTTCCTCCTTCCCTTCAAGCCCCTCCACCCCTTAGGCTCAGGCTCTCCCCTCCCTTAGGCTCCTCCCTCCCTTCAAGCCCCTCCCTTTCACTCATACCCCTCCTTTTCCTCAGGCCCCTCCCTTCCCTTAGGTTTCTCCCTCCCTTCAAGCCCCTCCCTTTCACTCATACTCCTCCTTTTCCTCAGGCCCCTCCCTTCCCTTAGGTTCCTTCCCTCCCTTCAAGCCCCTCCCACCTCTTAGGCTCCTCCCTCCCTTCAAGCCCCTCCCTTTCACTCATACCCCTCCTTTTCCTCAGGCCCATCCCTTCCCTTAGGCTCCTCCCTCCCTTCAAGCCCCTCCCTTTCACTCATACCCCTTTTTCCTCAGGCCCATCCCTTCCCTTAGGTTCCTCCCTCCCTTCAAGCCCCTCCCACTCCTTAGGCTCCTCCCTTCCCTTAGGCTCCTCCCTCCATTCAGCCCCTCCTTCCTCCCTCAGGCCCCCTTCCTTCAGGCCCCTCCATTTCCTCAGGCCCCTTCCATCTCTTAAGCTCCTCCCTCCATTAAAGCCCCTCCCTTTCCCTCATACCCCTCTTTTATCCTCAGGCCCCTCCCTTCCCTCTGGCCCCTCTCTTCCCTTAGGCTCCTCCCTCCTTTTAAGCCCCGCCCCCTCAGGTCCCTTCCCTCAGGCCCCTCCTTTCCCTCAGAACGCTCCTTTCTCCTCAGGCCCCTCCCTTCCCTATGGTCCCTCCTTCCTCTCAAGCCCCTCTCCCCTCAGGCCCTTCCTCCCTCAGGCCCCTCCTCTCTCCTCTCATGCCCCTCCCTTCAGCCTCCACCCTCCTAATGCCCCCTCTCTGCCATCTCCCCTTCCCACCTTGATCCCTCCCCTTCAGGCCCCTCCTGAGAGTACCCTCCCCAACTCCATTACATCACTCCTCATTCTGCCCCTCCCCTGATTCATCCCTGTGTGATGTATATGCATGCTGGTCCCTGGAAGATTTTACTGAGCTTAGTTGCTTGAAGAAATCCCTGTATTGGCCTCTATGAATTTCTTGAACTCCAGTATTTCTGTATCAATAAACCAATTTTTTCTACTCCTTGGTAGGCATTGGTTTGTATAGTACTTACCACTTTTCGTTCCTGATCTTGTTGTCCTTTTGGGCTGTAAAGATCTACCTTGCAAACGCCCCTGCGGCTATGTAACCAATCGATATCATCAGACATCTGCAAAGAGGGAAAAAAATTGAAATAGTTATGTATGGTTTATGGAAATGGGGTCAGTGTGGATAAAGCTCTTTGAAAAGGCTTCTAAGTTCCACCTCTGTTTTATATAGGCTTGATCTAAGAACTATAGGGAAGGGTGTGAGCAGTAGGGAAAGACACAAACATTTGAAGTTGAGGCACCTAATCATTAAAACTTTTACCAAAATTTGTGGCTTCTTTTTGTGTACACTTACCACACCAAGCATTTTGAGCCATGAGGGTATCTCACTGACTTGAGAGAACACCAGTTAGGAAAAGTGGTAGACTGGGAAGAAATTAAAAAGACTTTGGAGATTATATTTAGTAATTCACTTCTACCCAATTCCATAATGAAATCTCAACAGCCTACCTTTCTTCACCCATTTGAGTACCTTCAAATGGTAAAGAGCTCATTTTACCCCTTTAATTGTGGTTAATTGCAGCTCAACCAGTCTCATGACAGTAAGTGAAATTAGGGCAAATATCTATAAGAAATCAATCAGGACCATTGGAAAGACTAAGGTTAATTAATGAATTCTTTCCCAGCACAGAATGAAGTTCTGAATACCAAGAAAATTTAATCTAATAGTCATAAATGTACCACCAAGAAATAATTAGCTTAAGGAAGATCAAACCTTGATTCCCAAGAATCAAGTTAAATTGTAGAAAGAAAAAAAAATATCTGCCAACTTCCTTCCGCTTCCTCCTAACTTGGTCTGGAGCTAAAAGTAAAAAGAAGCCAGAAATAGAATTTTATTATGTAAGACCAATTAAGAACTAAGTAGACTTGTTTTAGTATCTGGGGCTTGAATTTCTTTGTAGAAATTAACAAGAAAAACCCTTCCCCCCCAAGTATCAGAGCTGTTGAATCCCATCCCCTATATATTCCATTCCTCCTAACTTCCCTCAAAATTTAAATTTCATTTTCTTTTAGTTTTCAAAATGGTCTCATGTTTTCTTCTTCCTTTCCTCTTCTCTCCCTCAGTAGCCTTTCCCTCCCTCCCTTCTTTCTTCCCCCTGCCTCTGTTCTTTTTCTAGTCCTCTCTCTCCCTTCTCTTCTTTTCCTTCACTCATCCTTTTCCTTATTTTCTCACTTCTGTTACACTTTTATAACAGTTATCCCCTAATGACCTTTTTTTTTCTCATGAAAATGCTACATACCCTTACTACCTGGCTAACCCCAAGATGTTTTGGGATTTCCCTTCTAGAAATTCTACGAAATCAATCTTGAGAAAGTTATAAAAAAAGGCTTCCCATTCCTTCTGGTGAAGGAATTATCTAGTGTTATTTTTTAAAGAGCAAGTGAACACTGGCCTAGAGAAAGAGGGAGCAAAGAGGCGCCTCATGTGATTTGAAGTCAATTTCAATTCAAATCTTAAAAAAAAACCTATAAAATGTAAAATGTATCAACTCATTACCTTGATAATGAAGTTCTTTAGGACTTTTGGCTGAAATTGTGCCACCCAGAAGGGAGATGAGCCCCTTTAGATGGAACTGGGCTGTGCCAAGTTCTTGGGCACCTGTAGCTGGCTTCCACCCCCGTCAGCTGTTGGGCCAGACTGAGGGCCCAGCCTGATCTCTGCTGGCTTTAACCCTGGGGTATGTCATGAGGTTTGTTGGGTCACAATGTTGATGCTATAGCAACCTGAGCCAAGGTGTGGCATGCTGGCAAATTCAGTAACCTTTTCATATCTAAATCACACCAGGCTGCCTGCTTAGGACACACTTTTTCCCACCATGTCTAGAAGACTACAAACATTCTACAGTTCAGAATGTTATAAGATCACTCATTCCTTTCCTTTATTTCTAGCTTCAAGGAAAATCTAATTGCATCAATTATATATTTTTCACATACTTTCTACCAGTCCTTTATCAATGAAAGTATTTTTACAGTTTAGATTATTTCTCTTTTAATTTCTCAGAGTTGACAAAAGAGATTTTACTTTTATATTGGAATAGAAATGTTGATCAAAGTATAGTCTAGATATCACAAATAAAATGAAAACAGTTGGAAGCTGCCTTAGCAACTTTTGTGATTTCACCTCATCATTAAGATACCCGCTTTGGCCAGGCATGATGCCACATGCCTGTAATCTGTTATTCTGGAGGCAGACACAAGAAGATCATGGCTCAAGGCCAGCCTGGGAAAAGGTTAGTGAGAGAATATCTCAAAAACAAGTTGAGGATTTAGCTACTCGGGAGGTGGATGATCATAGCCTGATGATGGCCTAGGCAAAAGTGTGAGAACTTACCTGAAAAACAAATGAAAAATAAAAGGGCTGGGGCATGGTCCAAGTGGTACAGAAGAGTATGAGGCCCAGAATTCATTTCCCAGTATCTATTCCCCCAAAAGATACCCCTTTATTTTTATTTTATTTTTTTTGGGTCCGGTCGTGGGGCCTGAACTCTGGGCCTGGGTGCTGTCCCTCAACTCTTCAGCTCAAGGCTAGCACTCTACCACTTGAGCCACAGCACCACTTCTGGGTTTTTGCTTTTTGCTTATGTGGTGCTGAGGAATAGAACCCAGGGCCTCAGGCATGCAAGGCAAGCGCTCAACCACTGAGCCAACTTCCCAGCCCAAGATACCCCTTTAACTGGTAAAAAGAAGTCATGAGATGTCCCTACCTTTGTAGTATCACAGAGAGAAATCATGATCTTTAGATGGTATTTTCTGGTGATTTGGATGCTGCGATGACTCTTCCAGTTTGCCTCAAGATGTTAGTTAGATCTTTCTTCAACTCTCCATATTCTCCTAAAAGCTTAACTGCAAGCTGGTACTAGATTTTCAACTTCATGACATCACTGTCTCCATAGAGGATAGTGACAGCATAAAGTCATAGGCTTTAATCTTCTAGTTGATTTAAGTGGTCTAGCAAGCTCTGACCTTCACCAGATGTATGTATCCCAGAAAAAGGCTAATCCTGTTGGGCCAATGCAAGTGCTCTACCACTGAGCCACCTTCCTAGCCCGAGATTTCATCTTTTAATACTGCTAGTTCATGTTGTCAGAGAGAAACATAGCTGAACATTTGTTAAAGGTAGTAAGACAGATTCTGTTCAGGCTACCAGATAAACGAGAGAGAGAGAGAGAGAGAGAGAGAGAGAGAGAGACAGACACACACACACACACACACACACACAGACACAGACAGACACAGACAGACACACAGAGACACACAGACACACAGAGAGACAGAGAGAAACAGAGAGACTCTTCATATAACCAGAGCTTAACACCATTGAAATAAAAGGCAGGATGTACTGATAGAAAAATATCAAGGCATTTGGGGGAAAGTGATTAGGGTATTCAGTCAAAGTGATTATGGTATCTGTGTGTTTGCTATTGTGTTCTTACTCTCCAACAGAGGTTAGGTTTAGGACACATGGACCTAATCTTTCTTAATGATTACCCTTCAAAGGGATGGTTTCCAGGTCCTTGAAAAATATACTCCTAGGTTATAGATGATAATATTTCAAAGAGACAGAGAAAGGATTTATAATTTCGAGTTTCTAAAGTATATGATCTGGGGAAAAGGACTCAGTGCTCATAGTCAGAACTTGGCTGGAACAGACAGTAAATTGTTTGTGTCAATGTTGAACTTTCTTAGGCCAGGTTTTTTTTTCTGGTTGTGGGGCTTAAACTCTGGACCTGGGTGCTGTCCCTCAGCTCTTCAGCTTTTTTTCTCTACCACTTGAGCCATAGCGCCACTTCTGGCTTTTTCTGCTTATGTGGTGCTGAGGAATCAAATCCAGGGCCTCATGCATGCAAGGCAAGCGCTCTACCACTGAGCCACCTTCCCAGCCTCTAGGCATAGTTTGTGTGTGTGTGTGTGTGTGTGTGTGTGTGTGCGCGCGCGCGTGCCAGTCCTGGGGCTTGAACTCAGGGCCTGAGCACTGGCCTTGAGCTTTCTTGCTCAATGGTAGTGCCCTACCATTTGAACCTTAGCTCCACTTCCAGATTTTTGGTGGTTAATTGGAGATAAGAGTCTCATGGACTTTCTTGCCTAGGCCGGCTTTGAACCACAATCCTTAGATCTTAACTTACTGAGTAACTAGGATTATATGTGTGCGCTACTGATACCTGGCTTAGGCAAGCATCCTAAAGAGGTTGGTATGTTTGTCATAGTGAGGACATGGCCATAAGCTTATAAAACTTGTGCTAGTATTTGTTCAAGTCTCTGAGTGCTTGTATATATGTATGAGAGGTGGTAGATGAAATCATTTATGCTGAATATCAAAGGTCTTACAGGCTAATTTTGAGGCCTAGTTGAAAAAAAGGCTCAACGGACACTAAGGTTTGACACATATTTACAAATGGTGATAGCTAATCCTCAGTACAGGACCTACTTTTTCTCTTTGTCACCCTTTCCCTCCAAAGATTTAAAAATACACATATACAGTAGTTGATATATAAAACATGAAAATCATACATATTTATAGGGTATCATGTGGAATTTAATTATGCTTATATATTACATAATTTTAAATCAAGTTAAACATAACTATTTCCTCAAGCTTACCTTTTTTGTATGTGTTGTTATTGAGGCTTAAACTCAAGTCTTCACACTCTTGGTAGAGCTAGAGCTCTACCACTTGAACCACAGATCTATTTTCGGCTTTTCAGTGGTTAATTGGAGATGAGAGTCTATAAGCTTCTTCTGGGGCTGCCTTTGAATCTAGTCCTAAGATCTCAGCCTTCTGAGGTATGAATCACTAGCACCAGGCTAGATTTATCATTTTCATAGTGAAACACAAAAAAATCATTTATTCTAGGGTTTTTTTCCCCCCGGTACTGTGGCTTGAACTCAGAGCCTGAGAAGAGCACTGCCGCTTAGTTTTATTCACTCAAGGTTTCCAAGTTGGGCTGGCTTTGAACCCCTATCCTCGGATCCTAGCCCCCTGAGTAGCTAGAATTATAGACACAAGCCACTGGCACCAGGCATCTTCTAGTTTTTTTTTTTTGAAATGAGCAAGCACAATATTGTCATTTCTAGTTATCTTACTGTTCAATAGCACATCAGAAGTTCTTGTCCCTCTCTAACTGGAACAGTACCCATTCACCAGTCTTTCACACTCTTAACTTCCCCTAGATTCCCCTGTTTCTGATAACTATCATTCTGTGATAGTTTTTTTTTCTGAGTAATCAACTGTTTGAAATTCTATACATGAGTGAAATCATATGGTACTTGTTTTTCTGTGCTTGGCTTACTTCACTTATTATAATGATCTCTAGGTCTACCTATATTGTCCAGATGACAAGATTTCATTCTCCTTATAGCTGAATAGTATTCTATTCTGCAAGTGTACTACATTTTATAATCCATCCATCCATCAGTTGATAGCCTCTCAGGTTGTTTCCATTTTTGGGCTATTGTAAATAGTGCTGTGGTGAACATGGGAGTTAGTGTATCTCTTTGACATACTGATTTTATTACCTTTGGATAAAGGTAATAAAGGTAATCTTTCTTTCTTTCTTTCTTTCTTTCTTTCTTTCTTTCTTTCTTTCTTTCTTTCTTTCTTTCCTTCCTTCCTTCTTTCTTTCCTTCTTTCCTTCTTTCTCTTTCTTTTTGCCAATTCTGGGGCTCAAACTCAAGGCCGGGGCACTGTCCCTGAGCTCCTTTTGCTCAAGACTAGCAATATACAATTTAAGTCACAGTGCCACTTCCAGCTTTTTCTGTTTATGTGGTACTGAGGAATCGAACCCAGGACTTCATGCATGCTAGGCAAGCACTTTACCAATAAGCTACATTCCCAGCCATCTTTCTTTTTATTTATTTTGTGCTGCTACTGGGGCTTGAACTCAGGGCCTCATGCTCTGGTTCTGTTTTTTCACTCATGACTGGCACTTCTACCACTTGAGCCACACCTCTAGTTTCAGCATTTTTCTTACTAATTGGAGCTGGGAATCTCTCAGATATGTCTACCTAAGCTGGCTTTGAACCTTAATTCTCATAATCAACCTCTTGAGTAGCTAGGATTATAGATGTGAGCCACAGGCATCTGGCTTCTAGCTTTAATTTTTTTTTGTGGCACAGGTTTGAACTTAGGGCCTTCCACTTGCTAGGCAGATGTTCTGCTGCTTGATCCATACCCCCTATCCTCTTTGCTTTCATTATTTTTCAAATCGGGTTTTCATATTTTTTTCTGGGCCAGCCTAGAGTGTGGTCCTCCTATTTATACTTCTCATGTTTCTTAGATAAAAGGTAGACATCATTGTACCCAGATTTTTCTTTTCCTTTTTTTTTGCCCATCTGGGGGCTTTGCTCTGGGCCAGGCACTGTCTTTGAACTTATTGTTTACTTGAGGCTAGTGCTCTACCACTTGAACCACAGTGTCACTTCTGGCTTTTTCTTAGTACTTTATTGGAAGTAACAGTCTCACAGACTTTCCAGCCCAGGCTGGCTTCAAACTTCAATCCTCAGATCTCAGGCTCCTGAATAGCTAGGATTACAGGTGTCAGCCACTGGTGCTTGGAATACCCACCTTTTTATTAGTTGTGATAGGGTCTTGTTAATTATTTGCCTAGGCTCACTGTGAACTGCAGTGCTCCTATTCTTTGTCTCTGGAGTAGCTAGGATAACAAATATGAGCCCTGATGCCTGGCTTAGCTTGAATCTTTGTGTGTGTGTGTGCTGGACCTGCAACTTAAACTTAGAGCATGGGCACTGTCCCTGAGCTTTTGTGCTCAAGGTTAGTGGTTTACCACTCGATTCACAGCTCCATTTCTGGACTTTATTTTTGTTTGTATGATTTAGAGATAAGAGTCTCACTGACTTTCCTGCCCAGGCTGGCTTTGAACAGTGATCCTCAGATCTCAGCCTTCTCAGTTGCTAGGATTACAGGTTTGAGCTACCAGTGCCTAGCTAATGTGAATCTTTATATGGTTTTCCTTATTGACTTATTAATTTATATTGCCACAAAAAATGTGCAAGGACTCCCTTTTCTTCACATCCTTATAAACAATTTTTATCAGTTTTTTTATAATAGCTATCCTAACAAGTGTGAAGTTACATTTTGTGGTTTTGATTTGTATTTGATAATTAGTGATACTGAGTATTAAAAATAGCCATTTATATGTCTTCTTTTGAGAAATGTTTGTTTCATTAAGTGATGCTGGGAAAAATGGCTATTCAGGTAAAAAATGAAATATAATACTACTTTTTTTCCAGTTATAAAAATCAATTAAAATGAATTAAAGACCAGGCATCAGTGTCTCACACCTTCAATTCTAGCTACTCAGAAGGCTGAGACTCTTATCTCCAATTAATAAGCAGAAATTCAGAGGTGAAAATGTGGCTTAAGTTGTATAGTGCAGCTTTGAGTGAAAAAGTTAAAGGGAGGGCACCTAGGCCCAAGTTCAAGCCCCAGTACTCACATTCACACACAGAGTCACACACATACATACACATACAAACAATTAAATCTCAGACCTAAAATAATGAAACTTTCAGGATATTTGGAATGGGCAAGGATGTTTTGAACACGACCTTAAACACTTGGAAACAAACAAAAAACCCCACACAACTGGATTGTGTCAAACTTAGAAGCTATACAGATGCTGGTGGCTCATTCCTGTAATCCTAGCTATTCAGAGGCTGAGATGTGAGGATCACAGTTTAAAGCTAGCCAGGGTGGGAAAGTCCATGAGACTCT